CCTCCGGAGTAACAGTGGGGCACAAAACTGTTCGTAAAGCAGCAGCTTAACCTGTGGAGTTAGAGAGCCCATTCTAGCAATTAGCATTTTGTTTAATGAAGAGGTCACGAAACTTGAAGATAGACAATTACAAAAACGCAGGCTTTTTATTTTAACTTTTTATAAGCAAATGAAAGCACATTTTTCCTACTTCAACGTAAAACTGGGACGTCCCTTCACACAGCTCCATAACTTGAAAGCCCGAAATATTAAACTGCTGGAATAGGATCCTCCGTTTTAACATTTAAAATTTACTCAAAAATGTTCCACTGTCTCTTCAATGTTGTCCCAATACTGGGGGCTGACAAACAAGGCATGAAAATACTTGGTACAGTGAAAGAGGGTCAAAGCAATGCATAAAATTAGGTTCTCTTCTCACCTAAATCCTTCACTTTTGCAATAGTAGCAGTGTGCCCATTTTCAAAATCTTTTCTGAAAATTACCTTCAAGTGCAAATTTAACATACAGTTGTAAAAGGTTTCTTCACAGTAGAATTAAAGAGCTGTTTGCCAGTTATCGGTTCCAGAAATAACATTAGTAAACCTCACAGCTTTTGTGGACACTTAAATGTGTATTTTTTAAATCTGTATCTCTTCCCCAGCTGTACAATAAGTGCTGTTCCAAAATATCCTTTTCCAGCCTAAGGCCTCAGAAGTCACTACAGCATTTAGCTTCTCCTGAGGTAGAATAAAACAGTTCAGCTGGAAGTACAGTTATCATCTCTCTGGTCCAGTGGTATTTATCTATGCCATAAAAGACAAAAGACACACCTACTATATGACATCACTCAGAAGTAATTCAGACACCACAAATTCTGGTTGACTACATATGCCACAATTGTCAGTTGTCACATACGTAAAATATAATTACAGGAAATGGGATCCTAAACATTGACTTCCATAACCAGAAGACTACCCCTGGAATCAAGGATAACCTCTACTAATTGTCTATAGAGGTGGCTGGATTCTCATCGTCAACAAGTGAAGGAGAACAGGATTTTCTTGTTCTGAGGCTTGAGTCAATTCCACAGATTATGCTGCACAATCATCAAGAGAGTCCTTGTCCTGAGGTCAGTGGGCATGAGCTGTCTGGCATACTTCACATGGGTCTTCTCTAATATTCCCTGGACACAGGGAAAAATACTTTGGGTGTAGGATTAACCTCAAAAATGAGGTCAGAATCAATCAGGGAAGCATATTAAATCAGCCAGGACACAAAGATGACAAACTTGGGCAGTGTCAATAGAAGGAATTTACTTCCTATTCCAAGATAATAGCTAATCTATGTTTTCTTTTTTACAATAAAATGAACTATACAGAGCTAACAAAATGCTATTGTTTAGATATAATAGATGTAATTCAGTAAAAAAATCCAGTAAAAAAGCTCCTTTTACAAATTATTTCACTCCTTAGTATACTTAGGTTGATTTGCAACATATGGTCCAATAACAAGTGAAAGCAAACTGCAACAATACAAGAAATATCCAGGAGGATGACAGAAAGTGTGTCCGTGAGGACATGGGGTAGGAAACTGAACACAACAGTTTTAAAACCAAGTGGATGATTCATTAGCATTGATTGAATGATGACTTAACTCCAGTCTCCTAGAAGTGCTGGTCACTGCCATGTTCTTGACAGGCGACACACCTGAGTCCAAAAGAGCATCACAAGAAGTCTCAGCAGAAAAATCAATGGCATAAAGTTAGAAGAATGTTCCTTTCCAGGCCTGGTCAAGGTCTCTCCAGGGTATCACAGAAGAAAGGGAGGGGTTGGCCATTCCGTTTAAAAGAAAAGCATTCAGACTTTTTTAAACTGCAAAGATCATGCTTGGACTCGAAAGCTGACAAAAGAGACTAAAATCCTTCAGAAGCATCAGTGTCTATATTCGTCCAAAATTTCAAGTCTCTAGGAATGCTACATTTAATGTATTTTTTTTTTTTTTAGAAGATTTGGGATCGTTTGATTAATTTCATCAGTCAATCAGCATATGATCTGTAATTCCCTTTAACTGGTTTTCATCCCTCCATCTTGAACACCCAGAGGAAACTTCTTTTCTTCTGGAAGTACGTCTTGAAAATTGTCCACATTTTCCACTGAGATCTGAATTTCAGTTTGTTTTTTCAAGAGATTTTCTTCTTTGGAAAAGGGGATTTCTTCCCCTGCTGGGGAAAAATTGGGTGTGTGCCTGTGATCCATGCTGGCTGAACTGGTCTGTCCTGGGAGCTGGGAGCTGCAGTCTGGGCTACACACTTTAACAATGCACGTCACATTCACCTGTGTCCCTGCGCTGCCAGAATGTTCTGTCAAATAAGCAGAAAACACATGAAACGGGGAAGAACGAAACCTAGAACAGGAGGAGAGGATTCTTCATGCAGTTCTTTGTTTCAGTTAAAATAGACACTAAGTTATCTTCTTGCTTCGCTGAATTTGGGCAAGCTGGTGGAGTTGGTTCTGTAACACTTCAGGGGGTTTTGGTACCATGACATCCACATGTCATCCCAGATATAAAAAAGCTGTAAAAATCAATACAGAGCCCTGGAGCACAGCCAAGTCCCTGCCCATCTGCTGCCACTTCCCATGCCCCTGACAACATTCTTTTCTTACTGCTCCCTTTGGCTCTTACATTTCTCCCAGCTAAGTGCCCACCATCCCAACATTTAATGTAATCTGCAATTAACAATTGCAATTAACAACTCTCAGGCTGACAAAACAATTGCTTTTTGATTTCAGAAGTTACTAAATACTCTCTCTGCTGAACACAAAATCACAGAATCATTAAGGTTGGAAAAGACCTCTAAGATCATCAAGTCCAACCATTAACCTAACTCTACCAAGAGACCAACCCTCACCTCACTCCAGCCTCCTTTCAGGGGGCTGTAGGGAGCCAGAAGGTCTCCCCTGAGCCTCCTCTGCTCCAGACTGACCAGCCCCAGGTCCCTCAGCTGCTCCTCACCAGCCATGTTTCCCAGACCCCTCACCAGCTCTGTTGCCCTTCTCTGGACCAGCTCCAGCCCCTCAAGGTCTTTCTGATCCTGTGGTGCCCAAAACTGACCCCAGTGCTCAAGCTGTGGCCTCCCCAGTGCTGAGCCCAGGGGCACGATCCCCTCCCTCCTGCTGGCCACACTAGTGCTGATCCCGTCCAGGATGCTGGTGACTTTCTTGGCCACCTGCCCAATGAAGTTTATGGCCAAAACACGAGTTTAATGTTTTATCCAGCCATTTAAACTTCTGCTAGAAAGACTAATAACTGATAATCAAATTTCCAGAGGTTCTGGGTCCTTCTGACACATCCTTACCTGAACCTGCAGAGTGGTGTCTGTCTCCACTGTGAAGCTTGTAACCTTCTGCAGCAGAATGTTGCTGCTGAAATCCTTCTGTTTCTTTCTTTTCATTGTTCTGGTTACTTATTACAGTGACTCTTGCAGATCCAGCTGGATTATTTAGGGAGCAACTGCTGGACCCAGAAGTTTCCAAGAGACGCTGTTCTTCCTGTTCAGAACTGCTGGAGTTCTGTGATCCTGTATTTCTTACTTTTTTGTCACACTGCTTTTCTGGAGGGGAAAAAGGCTGGAACATTTGGAGAGAAATGCAAATCATTAATGTTTTAAGAAACACTAACAAAGAACTGGTCAGTATTTAGGGAGCTAAAGAAACCACTGATAATTGCCATTTCATATTGATGACTAAGTATAATTCATACCAGCTCACTTGGTGTTCAGCCAAATGAACCTGTCTCTGGAAGGCACCTCCAGTAGTTCCCTGATTACCCAGGGAACAGAGGCTCTAAAATCCAGCCTTCTGAGCCAGACCTGTGCTTCACTGCAAATACAGCCCAACACAGTCCTGTCAGCACGACTAGGGAAGGGATTATGCCCCTGTACTCAGCACTGAGGTGGCCACATCTGAAATCCTGAGGTCAGTTTTGGGCACCTCACTACAAGAAATACACTTAAGGTTCTGGAGTGTGTCCAAAGAAGGGCAACAAAGCTGGTGAAGGGTCTAGAGCACAAGTCTTGTGAGGAGTGGCTGAAGAACTTGAGGTCATTCACCTTGGAGAAAAGGAGGCTCAGGAGACACCTTCTGGCCCTCAACAACTCCCTGGACAGGGGGTTGGAGTGAGGTGGGTGTTGTTCTCTTCTCCCATGTAGCAAGCAATAGGACAACAAGAAATGGCCTTAAGTTGTGCCAGCAGGGGGTTTAGGTTGGAGATGAGGAACAATTTCTTCACTGAAAGGGTTGTCAAGGCCTGGCCCAGGCTGCCCAGGGCAGTGGTGGAATCCCCATCCCAAAGCCATGGAGATGTGCTGAGGGACATGGTTCAGTGGGGCCCTGGCATTGCTGGAGGAACAGTTGGACTTGATGATCTTAAAGGTCTTTGCCAACTGAAACAATTCCGTGATTCCATAAAGCAAGGTCGGCGCATCATGTGGGTTAGGTGAGGGACATCTCCCACTCTAGCTTGGGACCAAACCACCCCATTCTCACTCCAGTTGTCTTTCTGCTGTGCAGTTTTCTCCTACTTGTAATTAGATAAAACTGCACAATTTCTGTATAACTTGTGTAACAGTTTCTGGGAGGATGGGACGGAAGGAGTGGCACTCACCGAATCTGCTTCTGTAGTTGGTGTGGAGTACACAGGGACTGCAAGTGAGGAAAGACAATTCATTAGCACCCAGGTTGGTTTCAGTCACAAAAGCTGCTCTGTTAACTAGCCTGAGTGATATCCTCTGCTCCTGGAATAATCTCCAAAGGTGAATTTATCACACACCGTTTGAAAATGCTGAAAGGTCTATTGTATTGGTTTTGTGAGGTGACAAAATTAGCCAGCAAGCAACGAGGGCCCTCTGTATGGATTAGAAATTTTGCTAGTACAGTGTCAGTGAGAAAAGTTACTGGCACAATAAACTAGAGTCATGACTGCTTAATGATAATATTTAATGAAGTCTAATATTGGAATGATGAAGCACAAAATAATCTAACAAGCTCCAGTAGGAGCACAACTGTTGTAGAGTTGTCCAGCCCCACTAGGATGTTGTATGTTTAGGCAATTATCTAAAATCAGAGGAACAAGAGAAATTTGAATGGGGCCTTTGCCTCACTGTACCAATGTACTGAGATTAACTTCATCCCATGAGATTTAATACAGGTACTTTTACTCTAAATACATACAGAATTCCTGGAGTATTCTATGTGTCTGTAGCTGCAAAGCTTATGTGACCAAGCTGATCTGCACGAGTTTTCTTTTAGTCCCTCTTCTATTGACCTTTGAACCTTTTTGCCGGTTTTATCCCAATGTAATAGAGAAATGGTGTCAAAACCTCCTCAGGGTTTCATGAAGCTATAGGTTGCCAGTAGTGAGGCAGAAACCTGTAAATGATGGCCTTGTCCCCTTTAAAAGAAAAACAAACTCACTCATACATTACTAGATACCAAAGGATCTCCACATTAGTGATCCTTCATCCATAAGCAGCCAAGAGTAAGGCTTTACAGAGATCTGGCACTCTGACACTAGCAGCAGTCCACCACAGGGCTCAAATTAGCAGGAAATAAGGAAAGAAATCTTTCCAATATCCCAATGTAATAGAGAAATGGTGTCAAAACCTCCTCAGGGTTTCATGAAGCTATAGGTTGCCAGTAGTGAGGCAGAAACCTGTAAATCATGGCCTTGTCCCCTTTAAAAGAAAAACAAACTCACTCATACATTACTAGATACCAAAGGATCTCCACATTAGTGATCCTTCATCCATATGCAGCCAAGAGTAAGGCTTTACAGAGATCTGGCACTGTCTAAGACACTAGCAGCAGTCCACCACAAGGCTCAAATTAGTAGGAAATAAGGAAAGAATTCTTTCCAATATTTACAGATCTACTTATTTTCACTTCATGAATCTTACCTTTTTTTTTGGAGACCAAGCAATACCCCAAAATAGTGATTATCACGAGCAATAGCAACGGCCCTGCTACTGATCCTGAAAGCAAATTTTAAAAGATACATTATTTAGCAGGTTGATCTGACAAAGCATCTAATTAGAAAGAGCTTGTTTTGTAGTTTCTGTCCATGGCTACAGAAGCTACATTCACAAGTACCAGGTGTGTCTGACATTTATATTTGATGCCTCTGTTGTTGGTTATCGAGGTCTCATTTCCTTCTCCATCACTTCATAAAACTGATTTTTCCTGTCCTGACAAATGAGGACAGACTTTTGGCCCCAGTCACAAAAGACTTTGCTCTAGGCTAGGAGCAGTTTGTTAAATACAAGGCCAGGCAGTCCAGAACACTGCTGAACATCTGTGCCTGCTGGATAGGCTGTGAGCAGGAGAGAATACACCCACACTCATGAGGACTGTAAGGCCTTCCTGTCTTGGGAAAGGCTGCCAGGAGCCTCCAAGGACCTCTCACCAGGAGGCTTATGAAGTCAGGTTTGCCTCAGTCCAGAACCTCTTCTACTGGCTCCTTCCTAGCAGCAGTTCTCATGCCTTGTAGAATCTAGCTTGGGGCTTTTAAGAGATATTTTTGGAATGACAAGGACTGTAGAATGCAGAGGAGCAGCACGGGTGCGTGGGTAAATTATGCAACCCACTACCAGCAGTGTCACATTGAATTCATTCAGCTCTTCTGAGGTTCTGTTTGGTTATAGGTAATTGGTCTTGGAAAGAAACTGAGAACTAAATATAAACTTGCCTCCTAGCCAGACAAAAGTGACTTTGAATGAGTTAGTAGCTCACCAATGATGTACAACATGTCAGGTCCAGAGTTTAGAATGACAGGTCGAGTTATGATTTCAGGTTTGTTGGAAGCTGAGCCTTGGGTCAGGAGCAAGTTCAGAACAGTGTGAGGTAGAACTGTGGCAACTCCTGTTCCTGAGTCACTGCAAACAGTGTCATTCACATTGTTCCCAGGAACAGCCACTGATTTACAGCTGTAAGAAACAGAAAGTTGTTAGGAAGGAAAGCAACCCCGTGCATGGTTAAGGCATCAGACAGAGGCAGCAGCTTACACTGTGTGAGGTGTGCAGCTGGTATCGTAAGATTCCTTATGTGAAAAGGTGCCGTGAGGGCAAGGCTTACACTCTGTGTCTGTGCTGTCTGTCCCTTGAAACAAACAGAAAAACTCCAGTTAGTCATCTAGTGATAAACAAGAATGGATAATCACAGGCTGTGGTACGGATCCTGGAAGCAATAGAGAGGCAGGATACAAAATAGAGTCTTTAACTGTCACAGAACAGATTAATTGGAAACAGCCAACACAAGTCAGGAGATTAATCGGCTGTTAGTTTGGTGCCTTTGATAGTGAGTCTATTTCAAAGACTGTAAAAGCCCACCAGAAGGTTAAAATCATAGAATGGTTTGGGTTGGACCTTAAAGATCATCCAGTTCCAGCCCCCTGCCATGGGCAGGGACACCTCCCACTAGAGCAGGTTGCTCCAAGCCCCATCCAGCCTGGTCTGGAACACCTCCAGGGATGGAGCATCCACAGCTTCCCTGGGCAGCCTGGGCCAGGGTCTCACCACCCTCAGAGTGAAGAACTTCATCCTTACATCCAATCTAAGTCTACCCTCTTCCAGTCTGCAGACAAAGTTGAGCTTTTTCACTAGTCCCTGACAGACTGACCACCTCTTCCATTCTGCTGGAGTTCTGTATCTTTTTAAAAGATTCTTAATTTCTTTAAAATATTCAGTGTTCCACTTATTTGTATACTATTTATCATCTTGAGACAGCTACATTATCAGAGTGGTGAATTTCACCATCTAATAGTAACAGATTATTTCTGCCAGACAGCTTAAGGGTCATCATTATTTACTGTAAACCAAAATTCAACCTGAAGCCCTGTTTCAAGAATTTAAGGAGGAATTAAGTGGTCTTGAATCTAAGTCACCTGTATAGAATAAATCACACAGTAGAGCAAAATAAAGGAAGATTGTTTGACTGGAGAGTTTTAAGATGTATGGTAGTAACAGACTGCAACATGATCTCCCTTTGGATATGCTTCCTGAGAATACTGTTGCTCTGGTTACTGCCTATTTGCTGAGGTAATGCTTGCACTAAAAAGAGTGCTAACTATAGAGAATTAAAGGACTATATTCCTGTAATTTACTGAGTTGGAGGCAGATTCAGAAATATTTATGGACTATTAACACAAAAAATAACCTTCATCCAGTAAAACTGTTTAGTGTGCAGAGTGTTCAGAATTGAATTACCTCTTCTGGAAACTCGGAAACCCTTCCCACATTTTTTGTGCACTTGACATATTTTGCAGGACTCGAATATCTTGGAAACACAGTACTCGTTGGGTGGGCAGCTACAGATTCTGTCCTGGGACTTAGTACATGTTTGATTCTGCACAAATCCTGGTTTTAAAACAAGAATAAAGCAAGATGTCATTAGCAACATTTAAAATAACAGCCTGCAAAGTGAACATGAGCTGATGTTCACATACCACAAACTGAAGACAATTTTGCAGCTTCTGGCTAGTGTACCACCATAAACCAAATACATTACACACCCCAACATCTACATTTTCAGAAGAGTTTCCTCTCTCACTCTCTCTCTCTCTCTCGGAAAGAAGAAATGTGCATCTGTAGAATGCACACTTGAAACTGCACCTGCAGCTGCATTATATTGTATCATAACCATAAACACCTACAGAGACCTTACTACAGAGATTTTCATACTGTAATTAAGCAGCTTTTTGGTGGTTGTGACATCTGTGAAAGTCACAGATGCCTATGTAGTAATCCAGTCCTACCTTTCCTGCAGGGCGGTGAGCAGGCGAAGCACTGAGGAGACCTGTTCCAGATGGCTGTGTAGGTGTTGGGTCTACAGGGACTGCACCTCGTGTCCACAGTGTGACTGCAGCTCTCTGCCTTATAGTGACCTATTCAAAACAAAACAAAACAAAGACACCACAGAAAGCATCTCACTGGAAAGATCACTAAGACTTCTTTAAGATAACTTTCATTCTTAGCTGTAGAAACCTCTTCCCTTCTCTGCCACTATCAGGTTGGTCACACAGGCCAAGCAAGTGCTGATTTAAAGGAGGACTGTGTTATTTACAGGGAATGCCCTCAATCCTGAACAAAACTCCTCAGTGTACACTTAGATGTAGCCACCACAGTACATCAACCAAGCTTTTTTTACCCTCATAGAAGCTGTGTTTTGTGGGGAAACAGAGGCTGGTGCTTCATGCCCAAAGTCAGGCACATGCTAGAATGCCATGTGTGGGTGAGGCCCTTACTTCCTTTGCAGGCAGCACGTGAGAAGGTGTAATAATGTGTTGTCACAAACAGACCTGAATTAGAACTTCACCACTTGTCACTACTGAAGGGACGTGAGCACATTCTTTTTCCATCACCTCTTTAGCCAGAACTAAGAGGTCAAAGCAATGGGTTTCTGCACCTACTGGCATTCCAGGCAAAATCAAAAGCTATCAAAGGCCCCTCCTCCAATGCTTCTCACCAGCATCAGAGTCCAGAGCAGTGGTAGGAACAAATAAATATCAGCTCCAACACATCCATTTGGGAGAAGGGAAAACACTTCAGTTGCCATTTCCCCTTGTTTGAACGGAGGAAGAAGATAAATTCAATGTCTCATATCCTGTACAGAAATATCCTGAAAAATATACTCAGAAAGCAGAAGTAACACAGAGAAAGTCTTTGGAGCTGCTTGGAGAATCTCTGTTCTCCAAAAGAAGGGGCCCTGGGGGTGACCCACAGGAACTACCTCCAAAGACTTTGTTTTTCCATGTACTTACTTGAAGCTTAAAATTCCCCTTCCCACATCCTGCTCATGATTTAGGCTTCAACTTTTGATAAATTATAGTAAAAAAAATAAAATTCAGAATAACAAAAATAAATATTTTTAGACTTCCTACAGCTTGTCCAGAGTTTGTTATTCTGAAAAATTAAAATTGATGAGAAATAGACTGAACCACACATAGCAAAACAGAAAAAGTTTTAACCTATGAATTATCATCTTTCACCCGTAGTGTTTTTAACAAAGGAAGTCTGACAGATCTATCTAGACATTTTCAGCTAATTCAGGCAAATGTGGCTGCTTCAGCATTTACTGATTTCCTGCTTAAACTTCCGGATCTCTGATAGGAACTCAGCATTTATGGAAACAAGTTCTGTTTGCTCAGCATGTCACGAGAAAAAAGGCAGCTTTTTTGCTGCATCTAATGTAATCATAGAATGATGACTTGTTGCAAAAAATTCTAATCAAATGGCATTATTACCCCCAGAAAACCCACACCCACACCCCCACCTCTCTGTAGTCTCATCCCCAGTCTCTGATAGTGGTCTGCAGTGTCTGATTTACAGTAAAAGACAATGGAACTCTCTTAATGAGAAATTAATTATAGATTAACCTGTCCAATGGAAAGCCCCTTATAAAAGTGATATGATCAAAGTACAGAAACTGAGCTCTACTTCATGCCCTACTTCACAATGGGCATGACCCTGTGGGTGTCAGCCCTGGGGGTACTGATCAACAACCAGCTGATGATGAGGCAGCGTGTGCCCAGGTGGCCAAGAGGGCCACCAGTGTCCTGGCCTGGATCAGCACTGGTGTGGCCAGCAGGACTAGGGCAGGGATTGTCCCCCTGGACTCAGCACTGGGGAGGCCACAACTCAAATCCCAGGTTCAGTCTTGGACACCTCAATACAAG